TATATATATATATATATATATATTTTGCACAAAAACGTGCTTGAGGTGTGGACGCTCCATTGTTTTTTGCACAAAAACCTTGTAGCGTAGACATAGCCTCTTGATGTTTAGTCTGGGGATCTCCCATTGTCCTCTCACCACACAGAGCCACCTCATATCTGGAACTACAGCATCCTCTGAATGACTCAGTCATCTTGCCAGGCCACCATCTGTGCTTCCCCCTTGTTTGGTTACCCGAAGTCCCTGTATGAAAATCATTCCAGGGGATCTTTTCCTGCACTGCCTTTTCTTCAGTGGCCATACGAGAACCTGTGCCCACCCTCTTCCCTGGATTCCAGCGTAACAACCCTCCACTGAGCAGTCTTGGGCTTCACCTTCTCAGCCTTCACCACTCCTTCTCTTAATTGTTTTCCTACTCTTGCTGGTCTCCCCTGCCCTTTTCTGGGAGTACCAGCTCCAAACCAAGTCCCTCTTCCCAGGGATGGATAGATGGATTTACTGACTAACTGCTGCCTGCTTTCCTGAAGACTTTCTCAGCAGCCTCCTTCACCTCTCAACACCTGGGCCTTATAGGCCTATTCCTGGTCATCTGAGTCTCATTTAATCCACACCCTGCTCCCTGGTTCCACCTCCAGGTGCAGTCTGGGCAGTTAATTGGCCTAGCTAGCCAACTTACCCCATGGAATGGACACTATAATGCAGGGTGGCAAAGAGGAAATCTGGGTTTTTGTTTGTTTAATTTCAGATTTACATTCCAAACTGAACACTCTTACATTTTTTGATAACTCCATTGTTCCAGTTAAAGTTCATCTATGCACTAGATGTTTTCTTTAGATCCTGGTTCCAGCTGGAAATTGGAGAAGATTCCTTACCGAGATGCAGGGGGGACTGACTATGAAAAAGGTTTTAATTTTAAATGTATTTGTTAGATCACTGCTAAACATGGAACTTGAGCTGCATGTAGTGATAGTGAGCTGCAATAAGTTTGATGGTCTGTTTATGTACTTATCCAGCGTTTATCAGGCTGAAATCTGTTGAGAATTCTCTTGTCAGGTCACCAGTTATTGCTTCCAGCCAAACTCATGTTAGTCCTTCAGCATCTGGGTGAAACCATAAACTGTTGCCAACTAAAATGATCGCTAGATGTTTTCAAATTTCAAAGGTTCAGTTCAGAGTGGTACATCTTAAAGTGTGGAGAAAGATTCAGATCAATTTTTTATTTCAGCTAAGTTGGTATTTCTGTCCTAGCAACAGCTGCAGGATCAAAACTCTTGCTTATATTTGCCAGGAAAGTAGCTAGTGGAGGCACTGAAAGCAAATTAATTTTAAATTAAATTCTATTTAATCTTGGCATTACAAAAAAAAAAAAAAAAAGAGAAATCCTTGTAAAAATTACCAAGGCCACTACATTATGCTTCTTTAAATATCTATTAAGAAAAAAAAATAGCTATGCCTACAAAATAGTTGATAGTGGTTGGGCAGCTTGTGTACTGTAACTGCCACATATTACATTCTCTCTCTTCTACCTTGTATTTACCTATTGTCTCATCTTATACTGTACTTTAAATATAAGCTCCTTGAGGCAGGGACTATCTTTTCATTATCATGTTTGTACAGTGCCTGCTATAATGGGGTCTTGATCTCTGTCTGCAGTTCTAGGCTCTACCACAATACAAATAATTGAGACTAAAGGTATGAATTGTGGGCATTCACCTAAAGGCAGATTTTTCCAACCTCTTCCAGTTTAAATTGTGTATTGAATAGTAAAGAAGTTTAAAGACTCAGAAGAGAATCTATGGATACAAAACTTGAAATGAAGTTCCTTTTATCTTCCCAAGGTTGGAAAGTTAATGCTAGGTTTTGCCAAGAGGGTTTCCAAACATTTAGAACCTCTAATCATCCATAAAGAGACCTCAGACTTTCCTTCTATGTCAAATGTGGTATAGAATTTGCTTAGGCAGGATAAGATACTAAAACAAAAACAGGAGGGGCTAAGGGACTGCACAGGATTCAAGGTCTTTAAAATGGTATTTATTCAGGATATTGAATCAGTTTTCTACTCAGGATTTTGTTTTTACTGTTATTCTCACTTAACCGATTTGGAATCAGTGCCTCATCTTATGTGCCTCTTGCAGCTTGCCTTCAGAATCGTCTCCTTAAGGAAATTATGCATGGAAATTCCTTTTTACGAGCTTTTACTGAAACCACAAGTCCGTATCTGAAACATATACTGCTGCAAATTTTGCCCAAAGCTTTGTCTTGGCTATATAAAAAAATTATAGGTGTGGACCAATTTTTGAATTAGCATGAAAACGCCTTTTATGTGCATATGAGAAATGCCTTTGAAACATTTTGCCAAAGGCTTTTTCGTCTTCTGGTTGTTATAAGAAAACATGGTTGCCCAAAAGAAAAAACCTGATCATGGTTCCACCTTAATCAGATTCACAATCATGTCCTAATGCAATTTGTCCTAATCCATTGCTGAGGAAGACAACCATTTATGATTCAGGGAGACATGTGGGAATAAATGTGACTATATGGAACTCCCCCGAGTCATTTATGTACTATATTTTACCAGTTCATAAAAAAACCTAATTACATTTCTGGGAAGAAGGTATTATGGATGCAATGTATATTCTAATAAAACACCACACACATACACACACATACCACTACCCGGGTGTTCTGTAGTCATATTGGGCTCAATTTGCAATATGGACAATTCATTTTATAACTCAGAAGTTGATATGTGTTCCTGGGATCAACATATTTAATGCTGATCACAAATATCAGCATGTGATTTAAAATGCTACTGTCTTTCTTTGTTTTTTGTTTGCTTGCTTGCTTGAGGACTGCAGTGTATTTATTTAGTATGGTAGAAAATGGCCCCTCAGCAGGAGCACAGGAAACTCCTGATAAGTGGGAGGACCATCAGCACCTCAGTGACTGCCCCACCCCCTTGCTTGACCCCTTTTCCCTGAGGTCCTGACCACGGCTCATTCTTTCTCCATCCCTTTCTCCTACCCCTCCCAGCCACTTCCTAGTAAGGCAGGAATAGAGCGTGTGTGTGTGGCGGGGGGAGGGGGGGTATAGCCCTCCCATTTTTTAAAGTGTTTGAACCATAGTCCCCCGTTCTTTCCCTGTGCCTCAGTAAGATAGACAAAATGGTTATACATACCTCTATTTATACAGTCAGAATGATGGTACTAGAGAACAATAAGATACTGAAATATTTTACTAAAAGGGGTCAAGCATATATCTATCCATCCACACACACACCCCTCACATGTCCCCCTCCAATCACTTGAAGTACTAAGGTCCTCATCTTGCAACCACTTAGACAGAAGAGCTTATCTTTAGTCATGGTGAGTAGCCCATTTGGAGTCACATGGGTAAAATTAAGCATGTATTTAAGTGTTTTCAGAATTATGGCCTAAAATACTAGAGCAAGAGTTCCAAATGCAGAAAGCTCTAAGTTTATTTACATTGAAATTCTTTCATGCAAAACTCCTCCCCCCCCCCATATTAAAATGTTATTGTAAAAGAAAGTTTTGCTATAAACAAAATTGACTGTAATAGATGGCATACAACTGGGACAAGTCAGTAGTGTAAATAATCAGATTTCCATCTACCCATTTGTAATAATCAGAAGATCATGTAGCTCATGAAATTACAATTACCTAACATTTCATCATTTATTTTTTACTTAAATGGTTTGTGAATGATTGTTTTTCTTTGGCACATGTGTGAGAGTGAATGATTTCTTGTGCTTCAGCTGCTGCAAATTTAGGGTCCGATTGTTTCATGTACTGAAGGATGAAGTTGGTGTTCATGTGAAAAGAGTCATTTTGCATGTGACTATTGAGAACATTTTAATTTCCTGGTTTGGAAACAATTAGGTGAAAACAGTGAAAAAAATTAAATAGTGCTTTAGCAGAAACCTGAGCATGAGATTAGACCCAAACCTCCCCCTCTCTCCCTTAAATGAAATGCTTTAGGGTAGGTCTATACTGCAAGGAGTGATTGTAGCATGTGTAGGCTTTCTCGTGCTATCATTAATATGTATAATAGTAGTGTAGATGAAGTACAGACTTCACACAGCAATCTGAGCACAATTCCTCTAGGGATCCTGTGTATGTACACTGCCCATTAGCCCATGCCACCACATCTATGCTGCTGCTGTTACACATGCTAGGTAGATCAAAATTTTCCTGGGATGCCTATCCATACTTAAAAAACATGATACCATCTACATGTTTTGTTAGTTTATAAAGTGCTACCAGACCATTTGTTCTTTTTTTAGTGTGAAATGCAACATCCCCAGTTATCCTTCTATAATTCACTAGATGATGTACAGACAAGCAACTGGTTGAAAAATCTGTCTACCACACTGAAACTTACATTCAAAGGCACTGCTAGAACGCAGCTCACTTGGTATTTGGAAATTTCAGTGTATGAACAGCAGCAACAGCAATGAAAGATTCAGGGCAGGCTGTAGGAGAGGAGACTATATTCTATAGCAGTGTTTCTCAACCAGTGGTACTAGTACCCTTATGGGTACTCGAGAGAAGTCAAGGGGGTACTTCTACACAACTGAGATTTGGAGAAAACTGAATTTTTGTATTAATTTTTACAGAGCTTTATTATTTTTGTACTTTTTACACCCAAAAATGTCATCGTGCGCCCAGCTATGATTAAGTTGTTTAAACAAAGGTGTTGCAATGGTATAAAAAAAAGTGTGTCTGAAAACTGTAGATACTTGAGTTATTTCTATTTTTTTTAAAAGGGGGTACTTTATTAAAAAAAAGGTTGAGAAACACTGTTCTATAGCAATTATTCAGCTAGTCTGATTTCTGGCAATCTCCAACAGGAAACAGCAAGGAAGCCAAAGCTTCTTCACTGCATCAATACCACCTAGATTATTCATAATGACTTGCTGATAATTAGATCCCAATGACAAAGTCTTTGGTAGATACTCTTCTTTCACTATAAAGTAAAACCCAACAAACATATGTTAGTACAGTTTGTGAATATACTCCTATTTCTAAAAATGGAAATCTGCATTTAATGTGTGAAACAAGATTTGTTATAAGTGATGGACAAGAAAGCATCATGTAGCAGAAAGCCCAAATATTTATACCTGTACAGCACACAGAAGAAAGAAAAATAAATGGAGCTGTTCTCCATTAGCTGAAATGGATTGTGTTATATGGTATCTTGCCACTGTAGGCATTGGCAAGTCAACTTCACTGTATGTAGACATTCCTAGAAGGTCAATACTCTAATATGCCTATTACCTAATACCTAGGCGAGGACACAAACATGAAGATAGACCATAGTATGGACAAACAATATCACCACATACTAACAGTTTCCCCATGTCTTATGTTTCAGAAAATTAGAACTGAAATGGATTGATATGGAACAATGTTAATGATCTCAATGGCCTCCATTATTGGGTGGGCAACTTGAGATCAAGGTTCCCTCTAAGCTGTGCAGCAGCATGGCGCCATGGCCCTGAGCAGGCGGGGCAGTGCTGTTGTGCAGCTTAGAGGAACCATGCTTAAGACCTCTTCAAAGGGCCCAACTGCTAAAGCATGGATGCTCAGGACTTTCTGAAAATCAGCCTTCTTTAAAACTGTCTCAAGTTGCCCTCCCCTCCACCCAAAAAAGTACACCCAAATTATTAGTCATTTTTGAAAAAAATGGAAACCTCAGCCATCATCACTTCATAATCAGCCTGGCTCCGCAGAATATTTTGGTGTTAGGAAGATCACATTTCTTATCGCTGCTATTGTGTGCATGCAAGCGTGCATTATCTTGTAATAAATAAAGCAGAAGCCAACACATGTAACCACTATTATAAACAGTGTATGTTGTGAAATTCACATGGACTCAAATCCTCTTAATGGTTTTCCACTGAAACTGAAAACTCAACATCTGCCAACACCACACAAATCTTGATAACTGATGTCAGCATGAATGCATTAAGCCATAGTTTTTAACATGTTAGGAAAACAAAGGGTTTATGGAATGCTACTAACAAATGGCTAAATCCTGTAGTCCTCACTCTGCAATAGGACTGCTCTCTCAATGGAGACTAAGAAAAGCCAAATCCTACAGTGCTCTAATGAGAACATTTTTGTGCCATATGAATAACATAACATAAGATAGAAAAATCCACTATGGTAAATCACTGATGCTGGCACCTTTCATCGCCAGACATTATTTGTGAATGCATGTCCTGCTGCACCAGCCACTGGCTTTGATGTGTAGCAGCTGCAAAACGAAGGCAGTATTCAGTACAGCAAGGCTGTTCAAAAGGGGAAGGAATGGAAGAATAAGGTTTCTCCTCCAGGATTTGAAATTCCTTAGTGGAACCCAGCCAAAGAAAGATATAGAATAAAAGGGACTTGGATTAATATGTGATAATGATGCTGTCCTGCAGATTTACTGGGACTTTCACTACAAAGGAAAATGTGCATCTCATAGCAGCAGCAAGGAGCATCTATTCAGATAACAGGGAATGCCAGGAGGTTAACTCGAGCAGTTGCAAACCTACAAAATTGATATATCATTATGTGTCTACTAGTAGCTTGGTTTTTGTGCACAGAAGTGGTTAATCAACGTTTCAGCATTAAGCCTGCAAAACAACATTTTAATTATTGTGCCAGATATCTGTGCCAAAGCTTTTGCCTAGTTTAGGTTCAGACTGTAAAGAAATCTTCAGGAGAAGGATAATTCTCAACACCTGTGGGCATTTTTATTAGCTGCTTGCACAAAATGAAAAACCTTATGTTAAAGTGCTTGCCTCTCCGCTGCCAAACTGACCTTGTGTGCTTTTACCTGAGCATAACCATACGCATGTTTTAAAGCAGACTCAGAAATAGACTGCTAATGGGCAAGTGCTCTGTGGCAAATCCACTTGACTCTGTGGATGGAAGTAATCATATATGGTTTGCTTAAACAGCTTTCGAGCAAGATATAGAAATAAACACAGTTTTAATATTATGGAGCAAATTCATGGGACGTTATAAGGAAGAACAGTTTTCAAAAAGGGAGAAGAGAGAGAAAAATCAATGCCAATATTGTGAATCAGCATTCATTTAACACAGTGCTGTGTTGCTGGATTTAGATAAAGGATCAGGGAGTGAAATTCTGGCTCTACTAAAATCACTGACATCGTGGTTTTTTTGCAAATTGGGCCAATATTTCAGCTGGGGAGTAGAAACACACTAAGTCCTCCTTCTTGTGCAAAAGCCTATGCAAATGAAGCACAGATTAGCATATTGCCACACTTCATTTGCATAATTAATTAGGGACCATTTTTGCACAAGAGGCTTTTGTGAAAAAAGGAGCAGTGTAGACGGCTCCTTTTTGCACAAAAATCCCCTCTTGCGCAAGAGTCATTCTTCCTGAAAAAATGAGGAAGAACAGCTCTTGTGCAAGAAGGGTTTTTTGTTAAAAAAGGAGCCATCTACACAGCTCCTTTTCTGCAAATGCCTCTTGCTAAAAAATGGCCCCTAATTAATTATGCAAATGAAGTGTGGCAATATGCTAATCTGTGCTTCATTTGCATAGGCTTTTGCACAAGAAGGAGGCAGTATAGAGCAACCTTAAGGTTTATTTCTCAAACCTTTGTTTTTGTACCCAGATCCTTAATTCTGGTTCTATAGCACTGTTCAGAATGATTTGCAAGAGCTGCAAGCACAAATTCATTTCTTTTAAACAACATCTGTTAAGGAGCTGCCATGTTCTTTCCCAGAGGTGGCTTCACTTTGGTACTAGATAATATTTCCCTATATGAAAAGATGAGTGAATAATTTTCCCAAATGTAATTCATTCAATTAATGTAGCTTTCTTTCCATGTTCAGAGCTGATTAATTTCAATACTAAATGTCTGAGGTAAGAAATTTTCTAAACAATCTTGTCTGCAAGGCTAGGTCTGGTAGGAATGATCAAAGACCAATTAACTCCACTAAAAAAACAAACAAGTGCTTCCCTTCTAATGTTTAGCCCAATGTCTAGGGTACTCACCCACAATGTGCGAGTTCCTGGCTGAGGTTCTCCCTCTTCCCCATACCTTATCGTTAACACAGGAAACAGGCATCTTCCATATTGCAAGTGAGTATCCTAGCCGCAGGACTACAGTGTGAGTCTCATGTTCTCTCTGGCCCCAATTAAAATGGAAGAGGAGGCTAGCATTCCTCCACACTCACTCAGCTTACTTTTGGGAGTAAAGGTGGTAAAATCAAGCCCACATCAGTGGTCTAATCAGATCATCATTTGCCGCTTCCACTGCCGTAGCTGTTGACAATATGTACTGAAGTTATGCATGCCTACAGGTTTAGCTCCTTGCAGCTTCCCCCACCCACTTTCAAAATCCCTTTTTTTCTGTTCACTACATTTGAAGAAAAATATAGACATAACTGGATGATTAACCCTTCAAATATAGTTGTCCTGACACAATGAAACCAAATATTCTCAGCACCTCTGTCCTGATCTTTCTCCCAACAGCCCCACCCCGAAATATTAATTACTTGACTCTTCAAATTATGTTGAATAACTTACAGCATTTATTAAAGAATGTTGGCAATATTTCATGCCACAAAAAGTTGTATGAGATGATAAAAATGGAGCGGTACTTAGATTCTGTCATTTTCAGTCAGAGTGACAGTGGAAAAATAATGAATTTTGAAGAATCAGATGATATTATACTCCCAAAACTTAATGAAGACCAGAGATAGCAAATATTTACCTATTAGCCTCACACACACAGACACAAAGCATCTTCCCTAGCATGAACATTGGTTTCTGCCTTACCCCTTATTTTTCATAATTGCAAATCTGTTCAAATTGCTCACTTACTCCATATAAACCAGGTTGACTTTTTAAAGTAAACTAGTTTAGAGAAGAGAAGGCCTATTTCTAGTTCAAGTCTGGACATTCATTCTGAGAATAAGCATTTGATTCAGAAATGAAATTTGAGAATTTATTCACACCTGAAGGAGTTTCTGTTAATCTATTAGGACATGATTGAGCTTATCTGTGTGCAGTACATCACTTCTGTTTTTGACAGAATCCAGTGATTGACAATCTAGGTTTTTTCTTAGTTTTTCCTCTGTATCTTCCAAATTCTAACTTAATAAATTATAGAAATTTAAAAGTAAAGTAGCTGAGCCACACTTCTGGCAATTAAACATTCACATTAATGCACAATTTAGAATATGGCAACACTTGCCACACTGTATTTTCACTGTAAAGGGAACACACAAACTCTCAAGTACCATGATATGGTAACTCTTGGGACATATTTAACTTGTCAAGGGCCACCACTGCAAGTTTCTTGAGTAGTTTACACCTATCAGTAGTCCAGCTAGTCTCAGTGGGATTAATCACATCAAGGATAAGAATAGGTATCAGGACCAAAATAATGATAACAAAGGACTGAAAAGGAGCACCAGATATTCTTCCCTTCAGAAAATCATTTAAGCCCTGCTGCTAAGTCACCATAATTGGGTAACATCAGTTTTAGGCTGTCCGTATGCAGTTGTTTTCTGTAATAAACATAACCTATTCTTCATACCTTCTCACTGATATATTACTCAACTTTTTCATCTTGAACACATTCAAAATAGAAAACCAAAGCCTGGATTCTTTCCATGAAAAAAGATCCCAGTATCTTTATTAATTCAATATATTTTATTGGTCCAGATTGTGACATCTGTTTATAAGAAACCACAACGGGGATTTCTTATCTGTGAAAGCTAGAGAAAGATTGAGTAGAATGACTGCTGTAATGAATATATTTAACCTATAATACAATTTAGCTTTATTCTCTTTCACATTAAAATCATTAGAAATAATCTAATTTTTTTTATATTGTGATGCACTCAAATAAATAGCTAAGCAAATATGTTCAATTACCGGTCTTGAACCTTTCAAGCTAACTTCCATATGATTATTTACTATTACTTACCAGTTTCTTCATCGCTATCTGGATAAGCCTTTCCCTCCAATTCACTTATTTCCACCTCTGTTGCTTCTAACACTTTACTTAGGACTTGAGGCCACAAGTGAACATTCTTTCAAAGAGTAGCAACAATGGTCATTTGACCAAATCCTGATTTCATTTTTTCTTCCATGGTGTCACACAGAACTGAAATCAATATAAAATTTAGTCCATAATGTTTTATAGTTGAGTGAGAGCTGTCCCCATAACCTAAAGAAGCATCATAAACAAGAGAACTAGCTTTCCATGAACATCAGCTTAAAATTAGATCATGTGTTTGATGGTAGTATAACGAAAAAGATAAAAGTTGAGACACATCAGATTAAATCATGTTAATAGAGAAGAATTGCAGCTTTCCCACGTCATGCAGGATTCCCTTTGAAATGAGCAGAAGGAGGTTCAAACTTTCAAGTGATTATCTGGAGAAGTTCACACCTTCCTTTCCAAAACAATCAACACATCTGTTAATAATTAAAAGCTCTGATTCATGGAGCAATCCTGCCATCAGTTTTTACATAAAACTCCTGGGCTATATCTACACTCAAGGTTTCTTACACGAGTAATATGCAAATGAGGCTAAGTGTGGAATATCGCCAAGCCTCATTTGCATACCTAATGAGCCACCATTTTTTTCAGGAGAGGCTCTTGCGCAAGAAGGAGCATCTACATTGCCCCTTCTTGAACAAGAAAAACCCTCTTGCACAATGCTGTTCTTCCTGAAAAGTAATAGGTGTAGACATATCCCTAGTGACTTCAATGGGACTACCAGATGAAGGAGGATGGGGGGGTCTGTAACCCAAATAATACAAGGGAAAAATATCCCATTTCTTTTATAAAACTTCTGGTTTTCCCAGATTTGAACCTTCCTATTCATCCTGATATTAAGCAAACATTACCTGTATTTTCAAGCTGTGCAGTCTCCAGTGATAGGGAGGGAAGGGATTTGGGCACTTAAACCATGCTATTAAAGATACTTTGGAGATTAAGTATTAGGAAACATTTGATGTAAACCTATTGTTCTGCTGCACTTTTGCAATCTTCCTGATGTCACCTGAGTGCAACTAAACACAAAATTTGGCAGTGCCCATTAAACATAACTCCTGCCAAGGATTCAGCAAATCCTTTGATCCATTTTTTAAACTGAGGTGCCTGTAATAAGAACGGGGATCCTGATTTAGCAATTGGCTGCACACAGGCAGACCCTGGTGCCTATGCTGACTCAGTTACCAGAATGGACAAAAACATGCAAAAACAAGCGCTTCTGACTTCTGAGGGATTAGAGCTGCTTCCGGGATCTGTGCCATAAATCATGACATCAAACACAGAATAGGGCAAATTCTGATTTCAGTACATATGTGCAACTCTATGAGGGAACTTCAAATGCACAGTGGTTCCACTCCACCCATACCAAACTAGTGTTGGCCTTTGTTTTTCCATTGTTGAGCTGCAGCTCTACATAATAGTCTCAAAATAGTAACTTCCTTCAGTATAACAAATTCATAAGGGTGTAGAAAACATGAGCTGTGAGGCAAGACTGAAGGAACTGGGCTTGTTTAGTTTGGAAAAGAGAAGACTGAGAGGGGACATGATAGTGGTTTTCAGGTATCTAGAAGGGTATCATTCATGGCTGGTAATGGGTTAAAAATCTGCTGGAAAGTGTTGGCCATTTTAGGGTGTATTCCTCTTCCCTGCTGATTGCCCCTTTGACCTTTTGGGGGCCAGGGCAGTTCCAGACTTCATTCTTACTCTATTTCCTGGTCTCTCTCTGGCTGTGCACTCAATGTTTCCACAGCAGATTAATGACAGCTAATAATATCTGATATATCTGGACATTGCCACATAATGAGTTGCAGTCCCACTGGGTCCCTGAAGTGTCACTACTAACAAATTCACCAGAGCTGCACATAATTAGCATGTAAAGGGAGTGATCATGCAGTAAATCTGTAGGGGAAGATGGATAGCCCAAGAGGAAAAAAAATAAAGGAAAAATACTGTTCTTAACACTCCTTGCTAAATGTATGTTCCTTGGCATGAATATTTTCTTGATAACAAACTGTGGACAGGTTACCTTTACAGTAACATTATTCCTTCTATGGCTGATAGGCAGAATTTCATTATGCCACTGCTAATGTTACAATATTTCTGCAAAATGTCACCATATGTAAATGAGGAGAGGTTAAGGTTTCCTTCTTAGTTTTCTTTCAGGATGCACTGTCCCTTTTTGCTGGGGCCTGATTCTCTCCCCTGCTAGTTGACAGATTTGCTAACAATGAGCTGACTCTTGGGAACTCAAGCAAGGAGCGCTGGGACCTCTTCCTTCACCTCAGCACAACCAAATAAGAACAAAGAAACTGAGTAGATGACAGAACAGTCACCGAAGGACAGTTTGGAAGGCAGAATTTTAAATGGAGAGCCTGATCCAAAGCCCGTCACTGGAAAGTCTCTTGTTGATTTCAGTGGACTTTGGGTGAGGATCCAGATGGCTATACTGATAAAGGCAAAGGCACAAGTGTACTTCCTGATAGTGAATTGGCATTTATATAAATACCTGAGTATTTCACAAATAAAACCAGTGCTGAAAGGTCAGGCTTCCTTTCAGGTGTTTTAAGTATGAAGAATCTCACTTTGACCACAGCATCCAGGATTAGGATGGTTGGTTTAGTGGCTATAAGACCAGGCTGTGATTCAAAATTCTGGTGTTCTTTTGAGTATGCCACTGAATCTATCCTGTGTCTTAGTTCACAACATATGAAACAAGGGTAATAGCATTTCCTTTCCTCACAGTGATGTTATGATGATAAAAGCCATTACTGATTGTGAGACAGTCAAATCCATATGTAACTACCTACATAATTGATTGCAGTGTTGTAGTTGCGTTGGTCCCCAGACGTGAGAGGAATAAAGTAGGTGAGGCAATATCTCTTATTGTACCAACTTCTGATGGTGGAAGGTACTAGAGTTCAATCTACTAGAGCTCTTCTTCAGGTCTGAGGAAGGAAGCAATGTCTGAGGAGCTAACTACAAATTGGGACAGATTGCTAAGCAGAGGGAGTAATGCATGTTGGTGGTGGTCACATGAAGTGTGCAAATGGGGATTAGATTGTTATGCATAAAGGGTTTGAAGTAGGCAATTAAGGGTAGCAGGCAGAGTGATGTGTTACAAATTGTTGTAATGAGCCATAAAACCAGTGTCCCTGTTAAATCCATGCTTTTTGGTGTGTAGCAAAGCTGTGAATTTAAATTCCCAGGCCTGTCTTTTGAAAGTGTTGTGCAGGTTTCCTTTGAGGACTGCTATTGAAAGATCAGACTAGACATGGAGTGATCACTTGGTGTTTCTGCCTTCTATTATTTTTCTGAGTGAGTTGATCTGAGAGCATAGTGATTGTCTGGTTTCACCCACATAGTTGTTATAGTATAGGTAGATAATGGAGACCCATACAGGGAGCTTAATAACGCTAGAAAAGACTCCCAATACCACATTCACTAGAGGATATTATTGCTGTCTTTCCAGCAAATGCCCAGGGCCTTTTTTTTTTAAGTTTATGCAATTTATGTGATTTTTAGTTTGTTTTGTTGCTGAATGGAGGCCTTTGGGAACAGAAACTTAAGATTTTACAATTAATTATTGTTTGTGATGGCTAACAAGAAAGCTGAATTTAGCAACAAAAGAAAAGACCAGGTCTATTATTTTATCAAAGAAACAGTCCAGTCTCAAATGCATATGGTGCACAGAAGCCCTCATATTTTAGATCTATTCCTATGACAGGTGAATGATGTGTAATTTACCACTTCCCTCACTGAAATTATATTCTTTCTTTTCTTTTTTTTTCTTTTCTTTTCTTTTGGAAAAATAAGTTCTTTTTAGGCATCTAGTAGTCACAGATTCATTGCCTTTTCAGTGGTGTCGTTCAGTATAACAAAATGCTCACACAATAGGCCTCTTTAGAGCTGAAGCATATCACCATGCATGCTCTCAAACTGAGTGTTTTAACCATTTGGTACCCCAATGACATCTGAGGTGACAGACACAGAAGACACAGAACCAGTCTATTTAATGAAGAATTCAGAGATTTTTATTTTATATATTCTTCCAACCTTTTTCTGATCAGGCAGGACTTGTGGTGAGTCTACAAATGCTGGGATCTTGACATTTTTACCCACTTTTAAACTGTCGTATCTGAGAAAAACTCATTAATTCAATAACGCAATATTCATATGAAGTCAACCACTGTTTTGTCTATGGAAGACTGGCTAGACTTTTAAAAAATATTACAATTAAAATAATATGTTGTTAATCTTGTGTGCAAAATAATGTTTTCTATTGAGTTCTCAATGTGACTAAATAGTGTGGGATTTGTTGCATATAGTGTGGACTTTTATAAAGATGTGCCCTTATACTGAAGTTTTTGCAGGTGGAGGAAGGTGGAGGACATTCCAACTATTTTGGTCTTTATCAACCAAAATGACTTGGATCATATAGGACCTATAAAAGTCAATGGAAGGACTCCCTGAGTGTTCCATTACCATTTAATAGATGATGGGAACAGGTCCTTAATTTTTATCTGGTGGTCCATCGTGAGGATGGACTGATTCTGGGTCCAGTCATCCAAGTCCTATGCGTCCAAGTCCTATATCATTGACTTCACTAAGGCTGTGTCTACACTGCACCCCCTTTCTGGAAAAGGGATGCAGATTAGACACTTTGGAATAGCAAAATCTGCGGGGGATTTAAATATCCCCCGCGGTATTACTTGGCTGCCGCTTTTTTCTGGCTTGGGGATAAGCCGGAGAAGAGCGCCAGTCTAGACGTGATTCACCGGAAAATAAACCCTTGAAAGTAGGAATAAAAGATCCTCTGGAAAAGGGTTTATTTTCCGGAGAATCATGTCTAGACTGCCGCTTTTCTCCGGCTTATCCCCAAGACGGAAAAAAGCGGCATCCATGTTAATGCAAATACCGCGGGGGATATTTAAATCCCCCGCAGAATTTGCTATTCCAAAGTGTCTAATCTGCATCCCTTTTCCAGAAAAGGGGTGCAGTGTAGACACAGCCTAACAGTTCTGTGGGCAGTGAACATGAAGAACAAATAGTATATTTGAAATGCTCACAAGATATAATTATCTTGGTGCTTTATGAGCTTTTCCTTGTGTCAGTAGCTTTAATGGCCAAATATGTTTTTGTCTTGAGGCCTTATTTACCAAGGATTTGGTGCTCATTGGGTTTCACAAGTAATAAGGTAGAACAGAGTATGTTCAAACTGAAAAATGATCATTTATAAATGGAACCTTTTACTCACCAGATCTGCTACTTGCATATATGTAGAGTCACAGCTGCTGACTGGAGTGACAAAAGGAAGTTTTTGTGGTGCTCTTCTCTCAGTAGAAATGATGTTGCATAGGTGTCAATTAGAGTCTCATTTGCAGGAGACACAATGAACATATATCCCTTCTCTTCTTCAGACAGTAAGACTCTGTCCATCTTTGGAATAGAGCTTCTGGTTTTTAAACAGTGATGTTTTAAGAATGTTTTTCTTATTCAGCTAAGGCAGAATATATTTTTGAGAAACATCCTACCTCCTTTTCCAACTAGTTTATAACACAATTTCCTGATGCATTTTGAACATTCTTCTCAGGCAAACTGTCCACTCTGTCCACAGAAGACAGATTAACTATATTAGAACTCTGCTAGCATCAATGGTGTGTAAACACCGTTCTATTCCCAATGTAAATGACGCTATTTGAATTCTATATCACTTTGCTATCTCTTTATATAGCCGAAAAAACCAGCTCATTGTAAACTTGGTGGTTTGTCTAAACAAGTTTTGTTTCATGTAAGAACAATTTGTGCTAGCTTGCATCCCAATTATGTTGGACAAATCTTCTACAATTTGTAATTACATTATTAGTTTAAATGAATCCATCCATGAATTAAAGTTGTCTTTTGGTTATTCATCGTAGTCTACAGACTGGTCTAAAAAATGAGCAAAGCTTTCAGCTATTTATAATAGAAGCAGAATGACTAAAAAGACCTACTGTTTTTTTTTAACTTTGCATTAATGAGTTCATCCCAAAATACGTATGCAATAATACAGGAAATTAAGTTATAAATGTGGGGATGCGCTCCGAGTCACCATGAAAATCTGCATGCAAATGCATAATAATCACAAATCTACAATATTACAATATTAAAAAATACCCACAATTAAATTATCATGTGGAAATAATCATAATGTTATTGGAAACTCAATTATTATGGCAACCCTTGTCGGGGAATTAGCAGGCTATGGCAAAGGCAAGTCAGACCTGAATTCATCAAATATATATTATCACAATATTACATGTTCACTTCGATTCCATGCAAAGACAAACATTCTCACTCACTAGTATCTGCTCAATGCATTTGTATTATTCATGAACAACTCTGTGATCTATTATACATACAAAACTGATTGTACACTGCTTGCCGCAGGCTACAATGCAGAGACACAGAATTAATTTTATTATATACACATGCATGATAATTGTGTAGGATTCGGTCAAATATCAAACCCTGCTCCTGTGTGCCATTATTTTACTTTCCAAAAAGGGGTCTAAGGTCAGCAGCAATTTCTCTTTGGCGACAGTGAACCTCTTTGTCATTTAGAGTAGAAAGTTCCTGGTTACTAATGAGCCTGGAGCTGTGATGAATGGTCACATACTTCCCTGCTCCTCCACCCCCACCCACCAAAGGAAAAAAATAAAACTTTTATTGAGTCTGTCAACAATTCCTTCCCTCTCTCACACACATAAGTCATTTTGGGCTGTGGATAGACTCATCACTCTAGACCAGTGTTTCCCAACCAGGGTTCCACAGACCATCATCAGGGGTTCTGCGACAAATCATTGAATAAATAAATAAAATTTTGAAATACCGCAAACAATTCCAAATATCCCTTGAAATATCACAGGAATTTTTGTCCAGCAATTGGCAATACTGGAGTAATCTTCGTACGCTACCAACTGCTTCTTTGTTTTGTTTTGGTCAGTTCATATCTAAGGTTATATTTAATTGTATTGTGCCTGCCCTTCTGCTTCCCAGAATTCTCCGTGTTTCTAATGTTTTCTAGTGCACATTACAGTCGTTTGCTATTTTGTAGATTTGTAGTCTTTCCACAGTTTTGTAACTAACGTTTTTACCAAAACTGTGGTTGTTTTCGTGTATCTAAAATGTCATGTATGTAACAGTATTTTCATACGGCCATCGAAAATAAAAAAAATGTGGAACTATATGAAAAGAAGGTATGTCAGTGAAGGAGAGGACAGTGAAAATGAATCAAAATGATCAGAGCCAAGTACAAGTGAAACAGGAAGAGAAGTGACTGATATTAAAAAAATTCACCTTTACAATGACAGTTACTTGGCCATGATAAAATTCAATGAAGTGTCACTTGATGTGTTTTGGATTTCAATAAGAAGAGAGTATCCTGTGATCTCAGCAAAAGCAGTGAACATCATAGTCCAGTTTTCAACTTACCTCTGTGAACAAGCTTTCTCATGTCTTACAAACATTAAAAGTGAAGAAAGAAATCGTCTGCTGTCTGTCGAGGAAGAAAAGCGAGTGTGTTTGTCAAAAATTTGGCCAAGAATTCAATATTTGTGCAAAAAGAAACAAACCCAAGTGTCACATTGCAAGTAAACTTTATATTGACTTTGAATGTGAACTTTATTTTGATGTTTCAGTAACCTTCATTTTGATTCGATATTTTGATATTTGAACAAAAAGAATAGATAATACAAAAAAAACAGGAAAAATGCTCCAATTTTTTTTCTTACAGTGTAAGCTGACATCTATATATAACAGCTCTTTACAAATAAAATTTCTTGACAATAATTTAGCAGTAATTGAATTGTGCTCCCCGCTGTCAACTTTTTCTGGCCAAGCAAGCATTTTCATAGGTAGGGGTTCCTCAAAATATGAAAAATTATTTTAGGGGTTCCTCCATGGGAAAAAGGTTGGAAATCACTGCTCTAGACATACAAATCATCACAGATGGGATCTTCCTAGAATTCTTTAAGCAGATGGTCAGTACACTCAGAGAAACTTCCTTCCAGATAATGAGGGGTTTACTTCTGAGATTCAGGTTCTGTTGTTATTTCCATGGGGTATTGTCTACACTGCACACTTATTTCAGAATAAGCTATTCAGGAAGAAATATTCCGAAATAGCTTATTTTGAAATAGAGCATCCACACTACAGGGAAGCCTCAAAATTAGTCCGAGGCAAGCTCCCCTAATGTGGATGCACTGTCTTGATTTAGAGCTCCAGGAAGCACTGGAGAAAAATTACTTTGAATGGCCCCGGTGAGGAGCTATTTCTAAACAGCAGCAGTGGAGCATCCACACTGCAGCTATTTCAAAATTGTTATTTTGGAAGAGGAGCTATTCCTCGTGGAATGAGGTTTACAGAAGTCGGAATAAGCCACCCATTATTTCAATATTATTTTGAAATAACAGAATTGCTGTGTAGACAATCACATTGTTATTTCAGAATAATGCTAGTTATTCCTAAATAACAGTCCAGTGTAGACGCACCATGATGTTTTAGCAATTCCTTTAGAAGCACTCCTTAAAAAGCTCAAGTAATAAGGAAATGTTATGAGTGTTGGTATGAGGGCAGCAACCTTCCTCCTTTGGTAAAACTAATGGATTCATAACAAGTTTCAGGGGCTGGAAGAAAGTTGTTCTTATGGGGAAAATTTATCACAGTTCCCCCCCCCACCCCCTTGAAAGTCCTGGTTCAAATCAAATTGAAAACATGCGAGACTTATAACTTCAGTAGGTTTCAGATTAAGCTAAAGCCCTCAGTAGAAATCTTAGAGGAGCAAGTATAACCAATCTTAGGGGAGCAAGTGGGACCTCTGGAACTTAGTGCATGAGTCTCTACCAGATGAGCTAAAAACCAGTTGGCTGTTAGCTAAGGCTGTAGAGTACACTCATTCTTTCTCTTAGTAAGTAGTCTAAGTGCCACTACATGGGACAGTACACCACCCCCAGCAAGTGAGTGGGCTACACAGGGGGCCTTGTGAATTTAATCAACATTATATATATTATTTATACAGCACCATAAATGTATATTGCATCCCAAATGTGCAGGTACTCAAAACTCCTCAGAGCACATTTTAGCTCAGTTGCGGGCAAATTCCAGTCCACAGACTGGATCTGGTCTGCAGAATTAATCTTAGGCAGGTCCCCACGTATCGGGTGATCACCGCTTTTGTTGGCTGCAGATTGCCATTCATGGGCAATGGGAGTAGTAGGAAGCAGTGTCCCAGTCCGCCCTGTTTTCCGCTGCTCCAATTGACTATGAATGGTGATCCATGGCCAACGAGAGCTGCGATTTCCCAATACCTGTGGAGGAACAGGAAAATGTAACAGTGTTGGCCTGCTAGGGACTAACCCTGGCAGGCTGCCATTTTTTATTGCCCACTTCTGTTTTAGCCCAATGATCCCAAGGCTCTGCTTTTTCAAAAAATGTCGCTTATTTGTTCACTGCATTATTTTCAGTGGTAGTAATCAAGACACGTATTCCAGGAGCATTTTGATGCTAAAGTTACAAGAATGACACAAACAGTCCAAGTACTATGGAAAAATTCAGGACCAATTGAAGTTGAATATTTTGTTCATTTTTATTTTTACCGAGCAACACCCATCCCAATTTGAAATGGGTATAGACTAAAATGTACTACGGAAATTTTAGTGCATGGCAAGGAGGGTCCATATGGACACAGTGTGAAACAGGCTTAGTGAGGGGCACAATTACACTTCAGCATGCTGAGACGTATGGCTATATCTAGCTCATTGCATATGAGCATGAGCAGTGGGGGTTTTTTTGGAAAAAAATTAAAAAAGGTGCTGGTACTCCAGGAAAAAGTTGTTGACCAAAAAAAAAAAAAACCCACCTGGGTGAGACCAGAATTCCCCTTTAAGTCCAGCCAACTGCCAGACTGTCAGGTACTGGTACGCTCCGTGCTTTCCAGGAAAGCTCTGACTGGAAGTGCCGGTACTGCATCTGGAAGTGCTGGTACTGTGTACCAAGCAGAACCGTTACAAAAAAACCCCACTGAGCATGAGTATAAATAGCAAGATACCTATGGGAGCATAGCTAGCAACAACGTAGCTTAGCAATGATGAATATGTACCCTCGCAGTTCAGGAGGGTGTGTACTCAACATAGATATGTCATGTTCCTGTTGCTGCTGCCTAAACTACTGATGCCTACATTGCAATTTATATTCATGCTGGCTCAGGTACGTGTGCAAGAGCTGGGAACACTCCTGGCTCATAGCTTAGATGTAATCTAGGTGTTCGTACAGAAGAACCCATAATGTGGATAGATGACATTTCAGCGGTTCAAGGTTGCCTCTCTTGTTAGTGCTAAGTTCAGCTATTTGTTTCTAATTCATGCAAACTAATACAAAAATAGAGTGAAAAATCATGCAAAGACAGTGTTTCATGAGATCTCTAGTCTGTCCCTTACTTAGACTGAAAATACACCAAGAATGGTATTTTGGTATTTCCTCTTCCAGCCAAAAAATACAAACATTAACTGGAGGTGAGGAGGGAGTGGTTACAAAGGCACATATTCCAATGTTAGAAAAAGACTGTTTAAATTCAGGAGAAATGTTGGTTTAGTTCATATGTGATCTGAATTGATTCATCCAATGCTATTCATTAGAAGCCCTAAACCAGAATCATACCAATGAATGGTCATATGGAAAGGAGCTGCAAAAACAAATGTTCTTGTTTTCACTCAATTGTCATTTATTTTGTGTGTGTCCATAAAGGCAGTTCATGGCAAAAAGTGCACACATACACACACACACACAAAGTAAGGCTTAGCTTCAATTTCTTGCCAACTATTAGACAGTATCTATTTTACAGGAGCTTCAGAGGGATAGCTGAGTTAGTCTGTAACTGGAAAAAAAAACCAACAGTCTTGTTATTTTACATGAGTTTGTATTATTTTATATTTTTATTATGGAAGCAGCCGAAAGACCAAAGAACTCTTGTATTAGGTGTTGCACAAACACAAAGGTTAACAGTCCTTATCCCCAAAGGGCTCACAATTGAATAGTTTGATACTTAGTACATTTATCTAAATAGTGTGCTGTGGTAGTGTCCTGTAGGCTGTGAACAAAGGAGTTTATTTGCTGCTGTTTTGCTAGACATCTACCTGTAGATCATTTTAAAACCAATGTAAGACTGTTTTAATGGCAGGTTCCATTAGGAAGGAAAGCAAGCCCAATGCACTGTAATAAAATATGACTAAAGGCTGCTTTAGTAACGTTGCTTTAGTGGTGGCAGCAGAGCCAGTGCATTGCTAACAGAGACTGCTGTCCCCTCTGTTGAGGCAAATGCAGGACTGCCCCTGAAGTAACTGGCCACCGAGGAAAGTACCGATTGCCTTGAACTTGTACTAGACATTTAAAATTAAACATTCCCATTCTGAAGGACTGAAGCATAGCTGAGGAGTGAATTCCCCAAGGTTATAAAGATGGGATGTACTCAGAGGACTAAGTAACACCACTCTACTAAAACTAGCACCGAGAAATTGTGCATTTTTGAAAAGTTATTTTAAGCACTGGCCAAGGCAATGTTTTGATTTCTGGTATTCCTTTTTGATCATTTCTGTTTAAAAACTCAACAAAAACTGGACTCATCTATACAATACAGTAATGAATACTCAAGAATGGGGGCTCATTTTGCTTATTTCTAGATGCAGATTTATGTTTTTCTTTCATTCTCCCTGGGCTTGTTGGTAGCTCCCTTAAAGACATCAGATACAGAGATCCCAGCACACAGTGTGAAGAATGTCATCTTTCGGTTTTCCTACATGTCTGATGGACCTGGATAAAAGTACTAACTGTCACAACCCCATAGGAACATAAGAAGGGCCATACTGAGTCAGAGCAAAGATCCATCTAGCCAGTATCCTGTCTTCTGACAGTGGCCAATGCCAGGTGGCCCAGGAAGAATTAATAGAATAGGCAATCACCATCTTGCCACTCACTCCCAACTCTGGCAAACAGAGGTTAGGGAAACCATCTCTACCCATCTTGGCTAAAAGCCATTGATGGCCCAACCCTCCATGAATTTATTTAGTTCTTTTTGGACCTCCCTGTTAATGACAGTTAAGGCACAAAATATGCTGCTCTCCGGGCTACTTCTGCCACCAGAAGTTAGCAACAGATAAGTCACTGTGTACACTTCTGATGTTCCCCTGGAACTGCCAGTTTGGGCAGATTATGGTGACTTTTTACATAAATGTCCTTGCTTACAAGGAGGTGGATATTCTGCAGCTAAACTAACAACATTTCTACGGAAGTTTTAGCAAGATAGTTGGCAGATTTTCTGCATTACATTTTCTGCAGGAAGAACATGTGATGTCTGATCAAGCTAGCCACACATACACTTGGATTCTCCATTTTTTCTTCTCAAAAACCTTTGTCTCAAACATCCCTTGAAATTTTGGGCTGGAGGTTTTATGTGTTGGGCTTCTATCCACAGGGGTAGATTTTCTGGATTTTTATACAAAAAAGCACTAGGCACGTTTCTTCCAAATAAATATGCAGGAGTCAGGATTTAAATAGTCAAATGTTTCATTTGCTATGAGTACAGTGGGTGCATTTCCCCTTTGTTAATAATGGTGTCATCCATGCCATATGCTAGCTTGCTGTAAGTTCTAGCAATATCACACAGCTCTTCTCTACATGCAGTAACAGGACTATGGGGAGGGCGAGGCAGAGGTGGAACAAATGTGTTTCAACACTTCTTTCTTTATTTTTATTACT